CACCACATTTCTGACTTATTGTAGAACAACAAGACTGCAATAAACCTTCAAAGTTCTTTACCTAATCTGACATTTCTGACTTAAGCCTAATTATCAGCTTGGGAGTGAACACGGTCGTTCGGTTGATTTCAACAATCTGTATCATAACGACAGTTGTTTCTTTTCTTTATATCCCTCCAAAGTTATCAGTGATTCCTTGCTTTTGGTCCAATCTGCAGGTCTTGGCATGATTATCGCAATATATCCTTCGCGTTCAGCCTGAAATTAGTTTTCATAAGAAAAAACGATGTAATCAAAACAAGGAACATCATCAGTTTCATCTACTTATATATACAAAAGGTTGATCAATTTATATGAATATATGTGCCGGTTGATTCCATAAGCAAATACTTGAGACATATTATAATAACATTAAAGCTCAAATTGTAACAGAATATAATGCAGTATAGCATTCACACGAAATTTTCATAGGTTCATCAATTTATAGTATGATCATTTCAACTTTCCTCGTATTTCTTACCGATGAATTAAGAAGCTGTGGTTGCTTGATTAATCTCTCGTTCACCTCCAGGAGAGACCCTTTAACACAGCACCTACAAGCAAAACCAACACAGTACCACAAAAAATTCAATTCTTTCGCATATGAAAACTTACGACAAAGGAAAAATGAAAAAATGAAAAAACTTTGCACCTCACAATATAAGAATCATTTGCAGTAGAAACTTTGCACAATGCTGTATTCGATTCAGATCGCATCGCATTCTGCAACCAAGAAAGAGCATGTGAAAACACTATCTAAAGCCATAATCTAGACTCAATCAAACTTCGAAACTACACAACTTCAAGCTATAACAACAATTAGCAAAACTCTTCTTAAAGACAGAGAGTAAAGCAATGAAAAAGCCACACCTTTTTACGCTTGCCGGAGACTTTCAAGACACTACGATCAGACTTACCGACATTGAAATCGATGTCAGTGATTCCACCTTCGTCCTTAAAAGCAACATGTGTAGGAGCTAATCCAATCACACACAAACTT